TTTTCCCAGGAGGCTACTAGAGGTGAGCCCCACAAAAAAATAAATAAATAATGGTATAATTAAGAAAAAGGAAGGTCTAGAATCCAAGAAATAGGGAACCCATCCAATGGAGAAGCAAAGGAAATTCCCAAAATAATGGTGACAAAAAAATACCAGGAGAATTCTGAAAAGTAAATCCAAAGAACAACTAACCAGAATAAGTAAATTTTATTTTTCTGATGCAGATAACTGAAGGGCTGGAGAAAAAGGTGAAAATGAGATTTCATGATCACTGTGCACTTTTGAGTACATCAAGATGAGATCAATGATTCTGGCAGAGTTTGGTAATAACTACACAAATTAGAAAACTAATCAAATGAAAACTTAGAAAATAGGCAATTACTAAGATTAGGGAGGAAGAAAAAAATATTACATGAGAAAGGAAATGTAACCAGAGTATATTATATGGCTCAGCTAAGAATAATACTGCCATAGTGAAAATAATGTGCAGATTGAATATTGATTTAGCCAAAAATTATTACAAAATTGTAGTGTAAAGAAACAAGGAGAAAGATATGACTGTATATGTTTCTGTGAATGGGGCCTGATTTGGAAGGGAGAAGAGAGGCAGGGGTTGGTTAAGAGATCTAAATAATCATCATTAGAGATAAAATTAATAAATAATATCTAGATTTGAAAAATAAAATCAAGAAAGTTATCAAATTTCAGATGTCACCAATTAAAGGGATCTCCATTATTCTATATACCTCTTAGAATAAGAAAAATGCCAATTAAACTATGATACTTGTAAGACTCAAAGATCTCAGAGGTATTGAAATGGCGTGGAAGCAAGAATATATGGTTTAGGAATATAGCATGTATTCTGTGAGAAAGAGCTAATAGTTCAAGTTGGTTATGTCTATAGAGCAGAAATCCAAGTGAGGAAGACTGGGGCAGGTGGCTGCTAATTTTGTTATAGTTTTTGCTGAACTGGTTGACTTTTAAAAATAGTATAGTATAACTTTGTTGTTAAGGGTTTATTAAGTTTTAAATAAATAAATAAGAAAATAGTATGTATCACAACCTCCAATTAAAAAAAAAAAGCTTTCACTGCTCCTGTGTTCATGATGCTAGCTTAAATGCTATTTTATGAAACTACTTTGCACAAAAACATCTTGCAATTCTCATTTTATTACCACTCAGAATCAACTACAAATGGATGGAAAAAGCTATTAAACAATCGAAAACCACTCTAGAGTTATGATCTGCAGCTTCTGCTCTCTTCCCTCGGATGGAACAAAATCCAAACTATAATTGCTTCTTTGCCTATTTTATAGGTATTTATTTGTCTGTGTTTCTGAGATGGTGGATTCTCCTGCCTGAGCCTTATTTACTAAAGGCAGTTTATTTAACTCGTTTCTTGCCTCCTTAGCTTGGAAAAACATCAGTTTATAGATGGAGCTTATTGACACATAAGTAATCGGCACCAAGGAATTGCCACAGATTATTTGGTTAATCAGGCACTTGCTCTACTGCCTGTAGGAAACCAGATTGATTTGAAACATGCATGCCAAAAAAAAAAATTTTTAAAAGAGTACCTTATTCATATGAGACCTAAACCCTCCCCTGAGAAAAGATATTTGTTCTGGTCTCCCCAAATTCATAAAAGAATGTGACATTCTTCAGTTTCCCATGGGTTTGGAAGTAGCAGTAGATCCAGGATCATTAACTTATCTGTAAATAATTAAGAGTCTAGACTTTGGGACAGAGCTTAAACATGTTTTGGTTGAAATTAGTCCACAGTGCCCCATTACACATGCTTAAAGACACAAACACAATGCCAGATGGGACCAGCAGAGGCTATGAAAGACTATGGAAGACCTGAAATTTTACCATACTTAACAAACTAAGGCATTAGCTTGCTATTGTTTCATGGATGCTAGCAGAAGACAAGAGACTGCTGGGTCAGAGACAAAGGACTTTACTGCTCACAGCAATAGCAGTAGCCAGAGTAGCAGCATGTCCACCCACTCCCCCCAGGCCCTCCTCCCACAAGGTAACATGAAAGGGGCTAGGTGATACACACAGTGGCATTCTTCTTGTACAGGGGAAGGACCCCAAGCTTAGGGAACCCAAATCTTTTTTTCCAAATAATTTTATTGTGATAAAATAAACATAACATAAAACTGACTATTTTAACCAGTTTATAAAGTATGCAATTCAATGGCATCACATCTTTTAACATGGGACATTAACCCGCCTGACCTCCATAACGTCTGCACCATAAGAAGACATCATTACACTGGACAATAAACAAACCCAGCCCTTGTCCCACGCCAGGATATCTCAGAGTCAGCACTATGGACATTGTGGGCTGGATCATTTTTTGTTGTGAGTTCAGTCATGTGCATCATAACATTTAGCAGATTCCTTGGCCACTACCCACTAGATGCCTGAAGTGTTTCCTCATTGATAAGAGTCAAAAATGGCCCCAGAAGTTGTCGATTATCCCCTTGGAGGCAAATCGCCTCCAGCTGAGAATGACTGTTCCAGAGGAAGTCACTATCTCTGCCTTTCAAGGCTGTTCACTCTACAAACATCCTTGAAAAAATAGCTGAGAACAAAGGCAATCTGTGCCTCTACTCACAAAGTATGCAGAAACACAAGAGATTCCTGGAGAATTGCCTCTCAACAGAGAGGCCTTAATATTGACTTCTAAAACTTGATCTGCTTTTCAGGCACAGATAAATTACTTGGCCAATTTGCACATGATATTTATACACAAACACACCCCCTTCTTCATGTTCCTTTGACTAAAGTTGTATCATGAACCTTCTGGATGACGGAAAACAAGTCCAGAGAGGTTAGCTAGGTATGGCCCGAAAGGAAATACAGGTATCATTTAGAGCTGAACCGAGGAGCATATGACGACATTTCCTTCCTTACGCAGGAATTTTTCCCTTCCTTGGGTTAATAATTGGCTTTTTGTGGGGAGGAAGGCATTTAATACTCTTCCTCCAGAAGTTAGACCTGCATTCAAACCCCAATTCCTCTACTTAATGGTACAATCCTGGGCAAGTAATTTCACCTACTAGAGCTCACTTTATTTCTATATATAAAGTGGGGGTGATAAGACCTAACTTACAGGGTTGTCATCACAATTATATAAGATATAATATATAATATAATAATATAAGACTGGCCCAGTACAGTGCCAGGCACCCAGTAGGTACTAAAGAAACAGTAACTATTGCTTAATGAACATCACCATTAGAGCATGTCCTCAGAGGTGTTCTCCCCATAGTGGAGCTTTACACTAATTTCTCCACACACTCACTTGGCTTTTCACAATATTTATAACATCGCTGCTGACGATCTGGAGCAAAAGATCATCAGGCCATAGAGAGAATGACGCAAAGACCTGACTTCATGAGCATCTCATGCCAACCACATGAGCTAGACAATCCTGACTCCATTACTAATAGGGTCAAAGAAGAAAGCAGTTCTGACCTTGTGTTACCTGTTTTTTTTCTTTTTTTCCAACTGACATCAATTTGTTGATATTGCCCGGCTCTTACCAATCGGTTTAAGCCATCTGTCTTGCGTATTTATATTTTAACAAGCTAGCACTCTCAGTCAAACAAGAAATCAAGCTCTGCGGACACTTATTCAAGGCTGTTTCAGGGTCATCAGGGATCAATCCCCCCTGCCTGCTCCCCTTCCTGGTGATCATCAAACTCACAAGTAAAGAAACACCAGTCACGGATTTCAAAACTTAAGTTATTAACAGAGAGAGCTCCTTTTCTGGTAATAATGCTGTGACTTTTTCTTGATAGTTTGGCATTTTGACTTTGGAATATAAAATAGTCTTGGTTTCCGCAGCTATTAGGTGTTGTACATACGTGATGATTACTCTTCTCTGTCTTAAAATATAATATTTAATTATAGCTTCACCAAAGACTTAAAATTCTGTTTTTCCATAGGGAAAAAAATACCTATAACTGGAGTTAATGAAAAATTATTAGTTGTAGCTAATCCTGGATAATAAATTAGATTTTTGAAATCTGTGTGATTTTTAACACATGAAGCTTTTTATCAGGAAGGTGATGCTTACAGAAAACGCCTGTGAAATCATGAGATGGCAATTTATTTCACTGCTGCACTGTTAAGACAAGTACAACTGAGAAGATCAACTATGGAATTTGCTGGATTGTGAGATTTGCTTTTTGAAAAGAAAATATCACATGATAGAGGACAAGTGGCAATTCCTGGTGACTTCTTATGTCCTAGAGCCTGGGATTACGAATTTCCACCCCACCACATACACCTAAATTCCAACCCTCCAATTAGAATTATGAGAAACCTGGTTGAATTGTACTAAAAATCCTAAAAGTCTTTTATTTCTTGTATCATTTAGCCAGAATTAACACTACTTAGTTCCCCATATAAGCACATGCGTGTACACACACCACACACACACACACACACACACTCCTAAAAGTACAATGTACCATTGGCTTAAAAAGAAAATCAATGCACACTAGCAAATATTTGAGCTGCATTTTTATAAGCAATTCCTTTATGAAAGACGAGTTCCAACCATAACCATTTCAAGGAACTTAAAGGAGAGAGTATCACAGCATTTTTAACTGCTTTTCTAAATGGAGGACTTTTTCCCTAGATTTTAAAAACCCTAAGCCAAACTCTCTTTTTGTATCAAATTTTCTCCCTCTGTATCTCATACCTAACTCCAACCCACCTCATTCTTCAATGCTGTTTATTTAAAAAAATCATTTTCCATAATAATAAATAAGACTGTCCAAACAGCTACTCTGTGTAGGGAGACTAGGAAGAACTGTGGTGCTTCGTTTTGTTTTGTTTCCAAAGGTCATTGAGCCACGTAGTACCTGAGAGGTCTTAACTAACGCTGCGTAAGAACCACACAGGGCAGATCACACAAAACTTGAAAGAAAAATAGCACTCATTGGTTTACGCATATTTTCAAAGGCATTGGAGACTACCTGGTCCACTGGAATCTCAACCTGAGTATCTTCATCTTCTTGGACTTCTGCTGCCCCCCGCGTTTCAGATCTCTCCTCTCCAGCTTTGAAAACGCCTTCATCTATTATTTGAGACAAATGCACAGTGAAAAATCAAAATCCAATTGTGACATCGTGTGGCTGAATGTTGAAATTACAATCAAATATCTAATGAAGATCTTTTTTCTTCTTGTTTTATTGTAGTCAGTTTACCGTGTTGTGTCAATTGCTGGTGTACAGCAGAATGTTTCAGTAAATCCCATATGATTTCATTTACAGGAAGATTATTTTTAATAGGTATTCTGATTCCCCTTGTATTGACAAGATTTTTTGTAGCCCCCGAATCTTCTATATTTTCACTGGGAGAAGTTTCAGTGGCCAGAACTGAAAGGCTGACCGAGCAGAGCAGGGCTATGTCCCAGACTGCTTCTCACCCTTTGGCTACGGATTTAGTAACACAATCCTGTACGAGTATTTAGATGGGAAGGATTTCACATCTCTTATCTCTGTTCTTTTCTCCTATCCATGAAACAGCAATGATGCAAGGTACTTGAAAATACTACTTTTAGAAGTTTTCCTTTCCCAAGAGAACACTATACACTGAAAGCAATCTATTGAAATAAATTGTCTCCATTCAGAGTGATATAAAAAATATTTTTACTGCAACAGAATCACAGAGCTGATGCCACATCTCACACAAATCGACCTTTTATTTTGCATGTTTCTGCAGGATTTTCACATCCTGTATCTTTAAATCCTTAACTAGAAAATGTGACCCAAATCTCAAGACTTTAGGTTAAGCTGCTTCAACTTGTTCTCCTCTAGAAAGCACTAAGAGCTGCTTTTCCATATTTGAAGTAGTTATAATGTCTTCCCTCGGTCTTCTCTTCTCCAGGCCAAGCAATCAAAGAACCACAGAACCATTCGTCATTCTGTCGGTCTACTTGCCTCAAGACAGGTCTGAGGCTTAAGTCATTCTCACAGATGTTTCCTCTGCCCAATTTTTTTTAAATCGTCAGGGGTGGAGTTTCCTTCCGCCCGTGATAATCTAGTACATATATTTGATTACCCTTCTGGTCTAGACAATATGTTCTTCTCTTTTGTCTGAAAAGTCCTTCTATTTCTCTAATGAAAGCTTATTTCCCAGAGCACAACTATTTAACACATTTCACGTAAGAACACTTCCTATTGTTAGTTACAAAATCACTCTTAAGTGTAAAATATATTTTTACATTCACTGAGGATTAATTATATGTAAGGAACAATATGAGCCAGTGTGACCACCCAAGATACGAGATGTAGACTGTTCTTTCAAGTTGGTTAAGGACCGATGAGTAGACAAATATACACACCACCTATAAGGTGCCCTGAGGTAACAGGTAAGGGCTGTAGCAGAGCCCTGTGGAAGCTCAGAAGATACAGCCAAGTGAAAAAGGAAGGAAGGAAGAGAGGGAGGAAATCGAAACCTTTCTGTTCCCCCTAGAGAAACCATTTTCACTTTCAATTACTTTTTTTTTTATAACTTGGATGTTGGCTTCACTGTCTTTTTTAAAAACCAGGAACAACAGAGTTACCCTCCCTCAAAGCTGATTAGACATGTTAGATGAATTCACATGTGAATAACGCAGTAATTTAATCCCTGCAGCAATAATTTAATCCCAATCCATATATACAGGAATCACTAACCATCACCAAAATGACGACTTCAGCATTGGCAGCTATTTTGGGTTTCTCTACAAAGAATCCTCCCCAAGGACATGTTGAACAATTACGTCCTGACTCCGTCGCTCTTACAACTGAAAACACGGATCCAAGATGAAATTGCAGCCAAAAACTCAGCAATGTCAGAAGAAAGAATACAGCAAATGAAACAGAAAGTGTGGTGATGCTCTCACATATTTGGCCCGGAGTGAATGCAGAGCATTTTGGTCACATACTCAAAAAAGCAATCCTTGAGCTAAGAAAAGTACAGGGACGGACACTTCACTTGCCAAGGAAAATCGCTTACATTTATTCTGTCCTAAGAGAAGAAAAGTAAAAGGGAGTAATCCAAGTCTATAAAATTGGAGTTAGCAAGGATAGGGTAAGCTGATATTCGTCTCTCCATCAGATTCTGGAACATGGAGCTCAAGGAAATAGTAAACATTAAATTGATGTAGAGAACATTAATTACATGATTAAAAAAAAGAAATTCCACTTTATTGATATGTGGAGCTCATAACTCTGAGAATGTGCAAAGGCAGAATAAATTAATTTCAAATGAGGCTGTGCAACTTATCGAATGTTACCTCCAAAGTGGTTTAAAAATGAAAATTAGGTGTTTGACATTCACTTCTACCTTCTGAATTACCTTAGAAGACAACAATCATGCTCATCCATAAAACGTCCCTTGAGTCAACCTTTGGAGCCAGATGCTGGACTCAGTAGACTATAGTTATGACCTGTCCATCACTTTTTTGGACCACATTTTTGCATCCAAGTGTTGCACTTGCTTTCAAACAGACGGCAAAGAGAAACCTTCAGCTATTAAAGAAATATATTAATGCTCACATTCAATGAAATGTTTAACTGTATGCAGGTGGATAAGGAGTGACAGCTGTACTTCATTTGGGGCTAAAATCAGTGAACCAATGTGAATGTTCGAAAGGATGACGTTGGTTCATGAAGAATGTTCACAGATTTGTGAATGCTCAATGTGAAAGTTCAAAAGCAGGCCTTAAAATCAGAAAATTAAAATTAACACCAAAGAATTGCTAACCAGGCCAATATACAACAGTAAAGGATCTGAACAACACAATGTGTTCCCCTTCGGTTGGGGCCATAGTGAAAAGTAATTAAACACTGTGGAAGAAGGCAAAGATGAAACATTAAAAGTTTTAAAAGCCTGCTGCAAAGATAGATTCTACCAGAAATTTGCAAAAATATTAAGTTTTTTATCAAAGGCAGTAGTGCCTTTGATAGTCAAACACTTCAAAACCTTACCACTTCCCCTTTATTATGCCGGCTCATTTAAGCTTGCACAGTAAATTTAGCTCACAGTGGCAGTCATATGCAGAAGGTTGTCTAGTTATTGATATAAATAGCTCACACATCCTAACCACAACCCGCTAAGGGTAGGTGCCACCTAGGGTAGGGGCTTTAGCCTCTAAAGCAACAGAGAATTAGTTTTAGCATCCCTCAGGATTTTCCTAAAATCAGAAATGTAACCTTACTTTATCCCTATGTCGACAAGTAAGTGACCCTTTTTTGCCATACACCACCCTTCTGTGAAATTCTGGTGTGCCAACAATTGTCTTCCAACATTCAAGATTTCTTCTAACCCCCTTATAATAAGCTTTAGCATAATTTTCAACTGCTCATGAAATTATTTCTTGTTTGAGTCTTAACAATTTTGCTTCCTCTAAAATTAACTGAAGTCACTGCCTCCATCCCTCACCCACACTCTTACTTGACCTTCTAATCCAACTTCTGTAGCAGCACCCCATAAAGACTGCTCTTGTCAAAATTATCAGTGATCATAATGGTCATTGTTATGTTCTCATTTTATTGGATCTCTTAGCAGCTTTCAATACAGGTAATCTCTCTCTCTCTCCCTCTATCTATTTCTCTCTCTCTATTTCTCCATCTCACTCTTCTGACAGCGGCAGCATCAACAGCGGCTTCTTTACAGTATTCTTGGCCAATCCATCCTCCTCTGCTCAACTTCTAAGTGTTGGACTACCCCAGAGCTACATCATGGGTCTGCTCCTCTATTTATACCTTCTTCTTGGACAACCTCATCACAATCATGGTTTCAATACCATCAATATGCCAATGATTCTCTGATCTGTATCAGCATCTTCATATATCCCCAAACTTATATGTCCAATTGCCTAACTTGACGACTCGCCTTGGACATCTAATAGGCATCTCAACCTTAACATGCTCAAAAGAGAACTCTGGGTCCCCACCCTTCAGTGCTCACCCTTTTTCTATATTCCTCATCCTATGAAATGGCACCACCACTCAATCTCCAAATCTGGGAATTATCTTTATTTCCATCTTGCTGTCAGTCCCTATGTCCATTCCATTGCTGCCCTGTAAATTCAATCTCTTTTTAAATATATCCCAAATATGTGAATATTATTTCCAACTTCACTATCAACTTGGTTTAAATCAGCACTATCTGTTCGGTGGGCTGTTACAATAACTTACAGATCAGTGTCCCTCATCTTCTCCTCTTGCTGTCCTCTGAATCATCCTCTACACAATAGCCAGGCAATGTTAACAGGTTACAAAAAACTACTTGGAAACTCTCTAACACTTCCCAACATACATAGAATGCAAGTTCCTTACCACGGCTTACAGAGATGTGATCTGTTCCTTAACAGCCTCTTGGACCACATTTCTACCTTCCCTTTGCTCATTAAACTCCAAGTACATTTTTTTCCTTCAACAGATAACTCATTCCTACCTTACGGCTTTCTCCTTCTTACACCTTCTGCCTGGAATGTTCTTTTCCCTCTTTTCCCATGATTAGCTGCTCCTTCTCTTTTAGATCTCAGGAAGCCCCCCTCATTCCAATTCAAGTGCCGTCTAGTCATTCACATCACTCTGGTTCAAGTCTCTCACTAGCATTTATGACCAGCTGATGTTTCTCTTGTTTATTTGGCTTTTTCAGTCTCCACCAAAGTGTAGGCTCCAAGAGAGCAGATACCACACCCATATCATTCATATACCTAGCTTTATACCTAGCATGTAACAGAGCTCAGCACGTAGGTGTTGAAAAGGTATTTGTTGAAAGAATGAAGAGCAGGCACTCAAAAATATTTGCTGCACTGAGACAGAATATTAGGAGAGTGCAATTTAAAAACCACTAGCCCAGTCTTTTAATTCTTTGTGTTGTTACAGGGTTTTTGCCCTAGTCTGGCCACACTGGCAGTACAGCATTTGGATGAGGAAGAGGGGGATAGAGAGGGATGAAGAAGACTGGAGTACAACCTACACAGGAATCAGCAATTATGCTAAGCGTGGTAGGTAAAAGAATAGCTCCCCCCACGATGTCTCCATCCTAATCCTTGGAAACTGAAGATGCTACATTGCT